GGCCCTACCTGCCCCCTCCCCCACCCGCCGGCTCCGGGCCCTTCACCTTTCCTCGCCATCCCGAGCCCCCTGTCCCTGCGGGGCCTGATCTCGCGCCTCCCCTACCTGGCCGCATCCTCCCTGCGGCCCACCTCTGTGCGAGGAAGTCCTGTTTGGTAGGGATTCTTAGTCACAGCTCCTTGGGGCGGGGAGAGCCCCTTCCTGCCCTCGTTGCTGCGACTAGACGCGCCCCATCACGCAGCCTTTCTTGTCATTGCCATGGTCCATTTCTGGTCGTTTTACATCACTCCCCCCACCCCAATGAGACGGTCACTCCGCGCTGCGCTTCCGAAGGCGCGTAGTTTGGGGTTGGACACAAAAGTGGCTTCTTGGGTGATAGGCCTCCCTGATGGCATGGGGCTGGGGTGGGCCCTGGTGGTGCCGCGACTGAGTCCTTGGTGCTGACCTCAGCTGTGGGCCCTGGTAGCAGAGGCCGTCTGTTTCTTTAACCTGGGAAACCCTGTGGGGCAGCTGCCCCTGCAGACTGCAAGGCTGGAAAGCAGGCCAAAAGGCATGCCCTGGGACATGTGGCGGCAGACTGACTTTGAGCAAAGCAAGAAGGGACGGGCTTGGAGCCCACTCGGCCCAGGCTCAGCCACACTGGACGAGCAGTGGGTGAGGCGTCCTCGTCATAGTGCCCTCTCGGGTCGGATTAGGGTTTGGCACATTGTTTAAATTGACGGTGTCTCAGTTCCCTCCTCTAGGAAATGGGGGAGGCAGCTGAAGGGAGAAAGCAGGCTCTGCTCAGCCGTGGGGTCTTGTTGGGCCTGTGCTTATTTCCTCCACTGTAAAATGGGCCCGTTGGCTTTGTCTGAAGTTTAACTGTCAGTAAAGGGGAATGACCCTAAGTTCCTTCATCCTTAAATCAGTTCCTGGGCTCATGACATCAACGGACCCCTCCTGTCAGTAGAACTGTGCTCCACGGGTTTTCAACGGCTGATTTCTTTTCATAATTTTTTTTATTGTGAATTAGTACATGGGGCTGTCTACTCTCTGGAAGAGATAGTCCAGAAACAGCTATGCCCGCCCTATAGGGTGCTATAAGTCGGCAGTGAGTTTGGGTCTTGGTTTCTTAGGCGTGGTGGGTGGGTGGGGTGGCGGCTGATTTTTAAGGAAGTAGATTGCCAGGCCTTGCCTCTGGGTCGATCTCAACGTCTTCCAACCATTAGGTTAATAGCTGAGCATCTTAACTCTCCATGACGCATAGATTCACCTCTCATGAGCAGCAAAATGTAGCTGAGTGCCCCTGCCCTGCCTGCCCCAGCGTTCCATGTATTTAGCTCCCCAGTGAAATAATAGGACCAGAGGGACTGGAGGATACATCCACAGTCCCCTCAGATGCATTTCATCTCAACCCTGATAACTTAGTGGGGCCACTCACTAAATCTGCCCTGAGCAATCCTCCCCACAGTGTCATGCAGTGGCCATCTCTAGTCTACAGATCCTAAAACAGGATCAAAGAAGTGGAGGTGGACAGGTGTTGTGTTCAAGGGTATCCTAGCTGAGATACCCTGGCAGTGTGGGCCATGCCAGCATCTCTGTCTTCCAGCTGTGGCTTCTGTTCTCTTCAAAGGAAGCCGGGTAGGGAAAGGGAGGGAGGAATTCTGATAGCAAGGTGAGAGGCCAAGGAGAGAATGTAAAGTTCATTGCATTGGGGTAGAGGGAGACACCACAGGGGTGGGTGGATTATCTGGTGGGCCACCCCACACTCTGTTTACTGAAACTCCAGTCCCTTCCCTTTCTTTTCCCCGTTTCATTTCTTGGTCCCTACATTCCTCTTGACAAATGTTAGTGGGAAAGATGGACAAGACAGGGAGCAGCAGGATGGTTCTAAGAGTTAGGGTGTTTGGAGGGGAGCCTTGAAGTCTGATCTGAAGGCATTACAAGGCTCCCTGGGGTCTCTGTAGATACTTGGAAACAGGTAGATGGAGCATGCTGGATCTCTGGGTCACTGGTACTGACCTGTGTATGAGCAGCCTTTGTAGATAAAAGCAGACCCCAGCAAAGGGCTTTTCTCGAGTTTCATTAGTGGGTGGTGCAATCAATTTAGTGGGGTGCAACCAGCATTAAAAAAAATTACAGCATCATATACTTTTTTTCTGTGTGGTTGAGTATTGGGTCATAATGTTAAATGTACCTCTTACTATATATAGGTCATGTGAACATATTGGGGGGTGCTCTCAATTAAGGCAAAGGATTTTCACCCACTAACACGTGAATTGAGACTATCACTAACTTAATAATATTTAAATGAGAAACATTTAAATGAGAAAATGCATGTTAGGCGTTTTGTTGCAGCCAGTGGCTCATGGTAAATGTTTTGTGTGGTGTGTACAGATCCCATAGCAGGCAATTTGTTTTTTCCTGTCCAATTGTGTTCAGTGACATCACAGGGATGATACATTGAAACGGACTATAGTGAGAGGGTGAAAATATTTACACCATGGAAATTGGCAAATGTTACAAATTAGCTTGTTTTTCCCCTGGAGGTAGGTTGTTGAACATTTACCTGTTTATCACTAGTGCTAATTATTCATCCTTCCAAAAACTGTCCAATTGGGTACCTATGAATTCAGCTCTTATATTGAGGCAAAAAGATGAGGTGAATTTCTGGGTTTGGGGAAAAAGCCCAGGGAAGACATTTGTATTTTCTACTGATGACCCGAATCCTCGGCTCATGGACATGATGCTGTTTGTTGACACGTATTGATCATCCATAGACTGCCTTGAGCATTGAAAGACCCATCCTGCGCTCAAATAGGAGTGCCTGGAGGGTAAGCAGTCTACTCCAACCCCCACATTCTGGTGACAGACCCCACTGAGAGGTCCGAGGCTTTGAGTCCTGGATGGAGGAGTAGAGAGAGCCGGGAAAGCAGCATTTAAACACAAATGCGGAGACCCTGCTGGTTTGAAAGGTTGGCCTGGAAAGCCAACGTAGTTCCTTCATTTCACGTGGTGAAATTAACATAGGACTGCCCACCCCACACCCCATTGTGTTATTTTGCAAGGTTGTAACTTGGCCATGAGCCAGCAGGTAGCAGGATTGGGTAAACACTGAGCAAGGTCAAGAAGAGCGGTCTTCAGAGGGCTTCCACTTTACCGTTGACAAAATGTGTCAGGCAATTTAACGGGTTTTGAATTGTGTAACTGTATAGAAGAGAGTTCACCTCGTCTTCGTGACAGGGCTTAGATTAAAACCCAAGCAATGGGTCATATGTGTGGGCTGATGAGCTTCCGGCCTTGCAAATAGGTCTTAATTTCAGTGGCTTCCCCATCTGGAAAAAAAAATAAAGATGGGGGTGCCGCCTCCCTCCCCCCACAAAAAGGGAGGCACTGCGGTGGCCCAGTAGGAGCCCCGGTGTGTGGGGGGTTCCGTCTCCTATCGGGCCCGGGTGCGCAGCCCAGTTATTAGCAGGCCTGCACTTTTGGGGGGTTACGAACACCCCTCAGCCGAGCATCCCGCGCCACCCCGCGGAGAAGGGAAGCCGCTCCGCCACCACGTGACGGGCCGCTGTGGGGGCCCGCGCTCCGCCGAGCGAGACCCCGCCCC